AGGATCACAACTCCGTACATGACCAAATACGAGAGGGCCAGAGTGCTGGGGACACGAGCCCTCCAGATAGCGTGAGTGTTTCTTCATCGTCATTTACGGCTTCCACGTGAAAATAAAATTTGTCCTCCCTCAACATACAAGACAAAAACCTATCATTAAGAATAAGTCTTAAAAAATAATGAATAGAGAATATGATCAAAACAAGACATATTAATAACTGAGCAGGGCAAAACAGTGCAAGTGCAACCACTGATGTATGGAGTGGACCAGTCCTCCAGCCTCAGGGAAGAAGCTGCCTTTGAGCCTTGTGACTTATGGCCTTGGTACTCTGCTGGGTTGGTGGGTTCCCTCATGATCCAAGGCACTACTACTCCCACCTGCTGAGATAAATGTCCTCAATGGAAGGGGAAGGAGAGGAGGTAGCTGCACAGCTTTCATTACTTTCTTCAGTAACTTCCTGTCAGCAGTAGAGCAGTTGCTGTACAAGGTGGTGATAAAGAAAGTAATTGTACTCTCCACCACACACCTGCTGCCGGCACTGAGGTGTTAAGGCAGGGCTGCCTCACGGTTAGGTTTAAGGTTAATCATGCTGGAGGTGTTAATGTTCCACGTCCAACTGATACAGAGGTTATGTTTCCCACACCAGTCTGCCGCTATTCCTGAAAACCTGACATAGGAGTTTCCACTTTTGTGTTTATGAGAGCAAAGCATTTCATAACTATCAGAATGAGTCGTAAGGCACCACAGTCGGTGAGAGTGAGATGTTGAAAATATTCGTCCACACTTCTTTGGTCCTTTTGTCAAGTTTTGTCATTGAATATAGAACTATGCTGAAGAGTAATGTAAAAGAGTACTGCAGTATTTGAGTGCATCTGACTTTCTGGTATGGTACATTGTGTTACTTTGTCTTTTGTAGGAGCAAAGTTAAGGACCATGGATACTTGAGTGAAGCTGGTGCATTTAATGTCATGTTAATATAAAGTTAATTAGCACCAGAAATATCAGTTTACCTGTGATTAGAGTTTATGTTTTACAGATGATAGTTGGATTCACATGAGCACCTTCTGATTTTAACCTTAGGTGTGCACTACAAAGTGAGATTAATGGGTTAGCAAGGTGAGACGAGGCTAAAGCCAGCGTTTTCAGTGTCACAAAGATGGCGTTCCTTTGACCTGGCCAGATCACCACAGTAACTAATGCTAAATACACAGCCTGGTCAGCAACATGTTGTGGTTAAAGTTTTAGTTTAAAATCATTCAGAAGTGCCACATTTTCACGTGATTTTTTATTTTTATTTCCAGTAGCCTGTAAATGTGATATAGATTCTCTGCTGAAGTGAGATGTTTTGTAAATGCTACCTGTAGAACTTACAAATGTCTCTAATGCTCACTCGACCAATTCTGCGCTAAAGGAGAGTCAAACATCGTGTCAGACGCCCCCTTTCTTATATGTGAACACACAAAGAGCCCGAGTTAACAAAAACAGTTCTGTGATGACACCTGTCATCTTTGACTGGGGTTTTAGGTTTTGTCAAGCCAGATAGTGTAGGGAAAACGTAGCTATGTTGAACTTCATTTGTAGTATATGCCTCTCATTTACCTTCTACAAACCATTTCAATTTTTAAAAAAGAGAAAGGAAACTCTGCGGCACAAATTAAAGCACAATCAAAAATTACTTTCTTCCTCTTAAGGCACTTCCACCTGTCAGTGATTAACCCAGACTTCCTTAAATACTAACCCTCAATTATCTAAAAGAAGAAGACATGGTGTTTGTAGACTGAGCATTGAAAAAAGGCTCTAACACTGTACTGATGTGGTTTACCTGCTGACTTGTCTCCAATAGGATGTGTGCTCCAGTTATGGTGGAGCTGGAGGGAGAAACAGACCCGCTGCAGATAGCTATGAAAGAACTAAAGTAAGCCATAATTTTCTTTGATGACTTTTTGTCATTTCTCTTTTTCATGTGTGAGTGACATTATTTAAAGAGCAGGTGACTGTAACAGTATCTCTGTCTTTTTGTCTTCACCGACAGGAGCAGAAAGATCCCCATCATCATCCGCAGGTACCTTCCCGATGGGAGTTACGAGGACTGGGGTTGCGACGAGCTCATCATAACTGATTAAACATCTTATGAAGCAGTCTATGCTGACAGATCAGCTTAAGCTGCTTCACAGCCACCAACCTAACTGGTTTTACAGCTACACAAACCCAGTGGAGGAGTCTCCTTCACGCCCACTCCCAGATCTAGTCGCCGTAATTCTCTGGTGACTGTAAACATGAGGTGTACTGCATAAGACTACTTAAAGACTCAAAATAATGCAAAACAATTTAGTATGCTGTTCATAGTTCATAATCCTGTAAACTTACTTATTGTTTTCCCCGCTAATGATTTGTTTAGTTTTCATCACAACCCAGCTCATTTCTTCTTTCTTTTATCTGGTACCTACTGAACTCAATTGTTTTAGCAGCTGCAATGCTTCTAAGAGCCACAAGGGGGAGATATATCCCAGTCAAACACTTTAAGTTTTATAAAGGAATCCTGTATTATGAAGTATTTGTGTTTTTGAAAAGAGGCGATTGTAGTGAAATTACAGTTTTATTGTTATAAATAAAGATTTTTGTATAAAGAGTTTCTGATTTATGTTACTTACACTATGAAATGTAAACAGAGGTTTACAATGAGGGTGAAGTTACTCTCTGGGTTCATAAGTCATAAAGACTTAGGAATCCTAGTGCAACACGCACTAAATGCACACATTACTGTAGTAGATCGATAGATAACAGAAAGAATCCTCACTTCCGACAGTGGATGTTGATGTTTGCACGGAGAAGTATTGTCACAGTCATGATGCATGGTGTGTGTGGCTCCCCCCGCCCCACTCCATAAACAGAAAGCAGCCAAACAGTCAGTGTATTGTTTTAGGAGAAATGGGTTGTTGCCTGGGCAGAGAGGCGGCGAGTGAATGCGGGAAGACAGAGTGAGAAAGTTTGTGAGAAAGCAGATTAAAGGATTTCTTGTAGGAGATGGTGTGTGATGATACTCTAGTAAATAGGCGAGTGGATTATATGTTGCTTGTGTGTGTGTTTGTGGGAACTCCGTGACATGTATGTAAAAACAACTGATTTAAAAGAAAAAAAATGC